AGGCATGGTGGTCTGGGTGCTGGGTCAGCGCAGGAACTTTCAGCTATGACATGGCAGTGGCAGATGGGAAGCAGAGGCAGACTCAGGCTAGAACCAGGACCAGGTTATGAACTATGAACAATAGTGGACCAGGCTCTCCCTTGGCTATACACAGGTGCTTCAGTGAGCCAAGCTCTGAAGTCTTGTATCTGAATAACATATATATTTTTTTTAATCAAGAAGCCAATAGTTAAATATAATTGTCTAAATAACATCTCATGTAGACCTATGTCTGGTATTTGGGGACTGTTACCAATATTCATAGACTTTGGTTTTTCTTTTCTGCGGAGCGCTTAAGACCATGAATGTGGTCAAAATTTATTTTTCTTTTTGGACTGTCAAGGCTAGTTGAGGATCTAGTCCTCGGGGGTCACTTGGGCTTGAGAGGAACCTCTGGCTCCTCTACCCTTTCTTTTACCAGTTGTTCTGTATCTGTGAGGATAAGTTTTGGCTCGACCGACTGTGGCTTCCCTTGAAAACAATGAGGAAACTTTTCCTCCGTGTTGATCCTCCTCTTTGTAGACTCGATGCTGGATGTAGTAGAGATTTCCCTGAACAAGAGAACTTCCCTCTGAAGTTACAGAACAATTCAGGGGATAGCTCACAGTCCCCTGGGACCTCAGTGACCTTGGAATGCAAGGAGAAACTATTCTCCTTGTTAGTCCCTCTGACCACATTAGTATAGCCTCCAAGTCTGGTTATTGAACAGCTAGAAGATCAGTTGCACCAGTCTGGTACTTTGAATTACTGTATATTATTTCAGTAACCAAACATTTCTAAGTAAACTTAGACTAGACATACACATTTTGCCAGTCCTTCTGATTGTTGATCTTTGAAAATTTAAAGCCCATATACATCATCTCTAAGTTTCATCCTTTATGTACCTTAAATCACTTACTCAGACCTTCAAAATTTGTGTAAACTTTCTAGTTTTCCATTCTGGAAACATCCTCCCATCTTAGTTTTCATATATTTAAATTCCACTTTAGTAAAACAATTTCCATTATTACATCCTTCTACCATTTTATTTTATTTACTGTTCCTCTTTCTGAATACCACAAGACATAATAGCATTAAGAAGCGAATTTCCTATATGATGTAAGAAATTACTCCCAGTTGGGGAGGAGGATCTAAGCAATGTGTGTCCCCTCCGATAAGGTCTTAAAGATAAATCAAAGTTCAGTTTCATCAGAGTTCACCCTAGGGTGCTGTTGAGTTTGTTGAACTGACTTACTGACCATTGGTGAAGGGCTACTGTCAGGAGGGTGGGTACTCTAAAGCAGCCACACTGAAAAGTCTTTGCCCATGTATAATGTCGGAGATATCAACTAGAGTTTTCTGGGTGTGTTGAGAGTCAAGGAGAAGTAAATGAGGTCGAATACAATGATTAGGGACAAAAGTCTGCTGTTGGCATAGACTTGGATAAGAAATGAATTCTGGCCGGGCATGGTGTCACATGCCTTTAGTCCTAACATTGGGGAGGCAGAAGCAGGTCGATCTTGATGAGTTTGGGGCCACCCTGGTCTACATAGAGAGCTCTAGGCCAGCCAGGGGTACATAGTGAGACCCATCTGAAAAAAAAACAAAAAAGTAACACAGATTCTGGGACAGAAATACAGATGCGATACTTAACTGATTGTCTAGTTTGTCCCAAAGGTATGGGAGGCTGGAGTTAGGAAAACCTGAAGAAAGAGTTCTCAGACATGTACATAAAATACTATAGGTTCAGACCAAAACAAAAGGAAAGGAACAGCTTAGGAACACTTCTAAAACTGTTGATAGGATTCGCCAGTTGGTCGGTTGCAGAAAGAAAAAAAGAGGGAGATTTTAAATATGATTTGAAGGCCCTTAGATAGAATGGAGAGAATACAGAGGTACAAAAAGCCTTAGGAAAAAAAGCGATGTAATTTTACAAAGAAAAAAAAGAATAGATGTAGCAAATATTTGCATTTTATATTTCACAACATACTGGGTATATTTCATAAATAAGCATTGGTTTGCTGTTAAATTCGGAGTGGTTTATACAAGGCACAAGTAATAATTATAAGAACAGACCAAACTTTGGCAGCAAAAGGAAGGAAAAGCAACAAATGACTAAAGGTGGAAAGAGAATGGGGGAAGGAAGGAAGAGGAGCTTCATTTATGTGATGTTTGAGGAATGGCAGACACTGTTGTGATAATCCTAGATCTGCAGGTTTGCCTGTTGAATGGACACAGTTACTCTGAAACATTAGTGACCTTCCCATCTTTAGCATGGCCCTCTCCAAGATGACTTCATTCCAGAAGATTGGTCTTACAAAAACATTTTATTGCTGAGTGGTTGCAATCTTCATTTTATAAGAATAATTAAACCTTCTCTTTATTGAGTAATTTAGTGTGATGTAAGCAAATTAACTAGATAAATACAAGTTTTAGTAGTCTGTCAGAGTACTTAGTGTCTGAAGAACATAATTTAATATTTTTAGATTTGTTTATTTTATGTTCATGAATGTGCATCACATGAGGACTTAGTGCTCTGTCTGCAAAAGCTAGAAGAGGGTGTCAGATCCCCTGGAACTGGAGTTACAGATAGTTGTGAGCCACCCTGTGGGTGTTGATAAACTGTACCTGGTTCTCTGCAAGAGCAACAAGTGCTCATCTATCTGTCTAGCTCCAATGTTATTTAAAAGTTAAAGAGCCAGGGTTTCTGTAAAGTAACATAGGACTTAGCAGTGACTGCTATTGCTGCCCATTTTCATTGCTGTGTTGAGACTAGCTACTACTCCCTCTTTTGGCAGCCTGGGTCAGGCTGTACTCTGAGTCTCTTAACACTAGACTGTGACCAGACAAGGGTGCATTCTACACCCCCTTCCTAGACTGCAGAGAGAGAGAGAGAGATGGATCATATCTGGGATCTTTCTTGATTAGAGACCAGGCTATCACAGTCAGCCCAGACTCCAGAAGTTTGCAATTGTTAAGTTTAAGTCCAGAGTCTTCATTTCCCTGTGACCCCTGTGTGAACTTTAATGTTTTTACCCCTAGTTATTATTGGCATTCTCTCTAATATATTAAAATGTAATAAGTCATTGAACTTACATTTCTCATAATAATATTCTAAGTTCTGTCTCATTCCCCTGTTTTATGAATCTCTTTAAAATTTGTAGCTATTCCACATCCTTATCCCATTTGTTTTTGTTTCTCTATGGCTATAAAGGAGAACACCCATTCTGTTTTCTATCCTTCCTTCCTTCCTTCCTTCCTTCCTTCCTTCCTTCCTTCCTTCCTTCCTTCCTTCCTTCCTTCCTTCCTCCCTCCCTCCCTCCCTTCCTCCTCCCGTCTCTCCCTCTCTCCTTCCCTCTCTCCCTCCCTCCCTTCCTCTTCCTCTTCCTCCTCATCCTTCTTCTTCTTCTTCTTGTCGTTGCTGTTTCTCTGTGTTGCCGTGGCTGTCCTGGAACTCACTTTGTGGACTAGTGTAACCTTGGACTCAGATTCAGCCTGCCTCTGCCTTCCCTGGAAGTTCTGTTTTCTAATTCTTTCTTAGACTCCTCCCTTCCCCCCCCCCCCCCCCCCCCCCCCCCCCCCCCGCCTGCTCTTCCTCATTGAAGATAAAGTACAGGGCCTCAGCTATACCAGACACATGTGTTACAACTCAGCTATATCCCCAGCCCCTCTTCCTACCTCAAAGTTGCCCTCAGGTAAAATATATCATTGGGAAATGTAGATAAACTTGTATTTTACTTAGTTTCCAACATTATCTGTGTATCTATATTAAGAATTCAAAGTGACTTACAAGAAACATGTAACTCAGCTGCTGTAACTGAAAGATCAGCAATAGGCCAAGCTCCAGTGTTGATATGATGCCATTAAGAATTTGGTTTTCTTCTTTCTGTACCGCAGACAAAGTTCTACCCTCCTCACAAGATGGCAGAGTGGTTGCCAACCATTCCCACATCATGTACCTTTTTCTTGATGGCTAGTGATATTTACCAGCCTGCCCCTGCATCCCTTAAAAATTTTTTTTCTAATATTTATAGATCTTTTTAAAATTTTTATATAAGAATTTTTTTCATACAGTATATTTTGATCATATGTTTTCCTCTCCCTAGCTCCTCCCAGATCCCTCATTAAAAAAATCCAACAACAAAAATGGAAATCATAACAGATAAGCAAACAAACAAAAAAATCAATAAGACAAAAAATGTGCATGGAAAAAAAGCATGGAGTTCGTGGCCACGTGGCCTGTCCCGGAGACTGATTGATAGCCCAGTGACATTGCACTGATGAAAACTAATTTGCTCTTTCCCAACACATATCAATTGCAAATAGTTTCTTGGTTGATGGGGACTTTGTGCCTGCCTCTCATCTCAGTGCTGGGATTGTATCTGATTTGAATCTGTGTGGTATGTATGCTGTCAGTCTGTGTGAGTTCACATGTCTGTCAGGCCTGTTAGAGCTGGAAGTACTGTTTCCTGGGAGTCACCCACCACCTCTGGCTCGTAAAATATTTCCTCTTCCACATAGATCCCTTATCCTTAAGGGGAGGGCTTTGGTAAAAACATCCCATTTGGGCTGAGTGCTCCAGAGTTCCTCACGCTCTGCACGTTGTCCAGGTGTGGATCTCTTTGTTAATTACCGTCTGCTGCAAGAAGAAGCTTCTTTGTTGATGGTTAATCAGTTCTCTGCTCTGAGTCCCCACCTAGGATGGCAGCTTTGAATTCCTGGTTGTGCCCATAGATCTTAATTGAGCTATGTGTCTCTGCCTTGAATCACCAACTGTGGTGGGGATAGGACAGTTCTGGATTGCTCAGGCTGAGTCTGCTTTCCTTAATACCCAAGCCAGTGGAAAGAGTACAGAAGCCCTCTCAAAACAGAGTAACTACCCGGAGGAGAAGAATTGGATGGGTGGTGATAACCATGTTTTGAAGACATTTGAGTTCATCATTAAAATGCTTGCTTTTCTTTTCTTCATCTTTTGTCTCTAGGGGCTGTTCCAACAACCAAACGGACAGGCATCCCAGCTCCACGGGAACTCTCAGTAACTATCTCAAGAGAGAGATCTGTGCCACGTGGTCCCTCCAGCTCAAAGAAGTTGGGCTCTAGTCCAACTTCTTCCTGCACCCCCACTCCTACCAAGCACCTGAGGCCCACCTCTGCAAAACCTAAACAAGACCATGAAGGCACAGAGAAGTCTGTACTCGAGTCCCAGGTTCGGGAACTTCTGGCAGAAGCCAAAACCAAAGACAGTGAAATCAACCGGCTTCGAAGTGAACTAAAAAAATGTAAAGAAAGGTGGGCCCTAAGCACTGAGGATACCAATGCATCAGACCCAAGCGCAGAGGGAACATCAACCCCAGTAGGTGATGCAGAACCTTTGATAAGAACGCTGGAGGAGAAGAACAAGACCTTTCAGAAAGAACTTGCTGACCTAGAGGAAGAAAACAGGGCCTTGAAGGAGAAACTGACTTACCTTGAGCAGTCACCAAATTCAGAAGGGGCAGCAAGTCACACTGGTGACAGCAGCTGCCCAACATCCATAACCCAAGAGTCTAGCTTCGGGAGCCCAGTTGGAAATGAGTTGTCCAGTGAAGTGGACGAGTATAGAAGAAGCACACATGGAAGTACATTGCGGACATCGGGGTCTTCAAGCAGTGATGTCACTAAAGCCTCTCTGTCACCAGATGCCTCAGATTTTGAGCATATCACTGCAGACACCCCATCACGGCCTCTGTCAGCCACAAGCAACTCTTTTAAGGGCTCCAAGTGCTCCCCTATTGGGAGCTCCCCAAACAATGCGAGCGAGTTGTCCTTGGCATCTCTGACTGAGAAGATACAGAAGATGGAGGAGAATCAGCACAGCACTGCTGAAGAGCTGCAGGCTACTCTGCAGGAGTTATCAGACCAGCAGCAGATGGTGCAGGAACTGACAGCCGAGAACGAGAAGCTGGTGGATGAGAAGACCATTTTAGAGACCTCTTTCCACCAGCACCGAGAGAGGGCAGAACAGCTGAGTCAGGAAAACGAGAAACTGATCAACCTTTTACAAGAACGAGTGAAGAATGAGGAGCCTAGTGCCCAAGGAGGAAAAATCCTTGAGCTAGAGCAGAAGTGCACAGATATTCTGGAGAAGAGCCGCTTTGAAAGAGAGAAGCTGCTTAACATTCAGCAGCAGCTGACCTGCAGCCTACGGAAGGTTGAGGAAGAAAACCAAGGAGCTATAGACATGATCAAGCACCTGAAGGAGGAAAATGAAAAACTGAATGGGTTCCTAGAGCACGAACGATGTAATAATAGTGTGATGGCCAAAACTTTGGAGGAGTGTAGGGTTACCTTGGAAGGCTTGAAAATAGAGAATGGGTCCTTGAAGGCTCATTTGGAGACTGATAAGCAAAAGGCCGTGGAGGCCAGCAGTACCGTGGGGCAGACGGCAGAGAACTTCGAGGTTCAAGAAATGCTGAAAGTGGCTCGAGCTGAGAAAGATCAATTGCAACTGTCTTGCACCGAGCTCAGACAAGAATTGCTAAAGGCGAATGGTGAAATTAAACACATTTCCAGCCTCCTAGCGAAGGTAAGGAGAGGGCTCTCAACTAGTATTTGTTGACATTTCTCTTCAAGACCTTAAAATCATGGAGCGAAGAGAATCAGTTGTTCAGCTGTCCTTGTGAAGCCAGCTTTCTAGTTCGAAGATCTATTAGAATGTAGACAGACTGGCCCTGGGGACTCCAAAGTAAAAACACTCAGATTTCTGTACAGATAGTTCAAAGTTTAATGGAAACATAATGAATTATATCATATGGTATGGTGTAGTTATGGAGAATATCAGCGGTGGGATACATCTAGTTGGAAGATGTTTTCATAGCATCCTTGGGGCTTTAGATTTGATTCCTAGCACCACACGAACATAGGATAAAATAAAAATTAGAACCATCCTGTATACATTGATTGCCTTTTTGATGCATTTAATGCTTTCTGAGCATATTCTCAGCATTGACTCTTTTAAATGTTGTTTTAAATGCCAGCTAGGATTTATCAAGTAACTTTTATATTCACTAGTCCACTGTTACTGCCATGTGTGTATTATTTGTTGTTTATGTCCTTTCTGGTCTTGGAATATTAAAAGTAATTTTTTATATCTCTGATTATTTCTTCAGGAAAAATTCCTAGACGTTGACTTAGTGAGTCAAAGAGTATAAACAATTTAAAGATTTCAACACATTTAGCCAGATTGCCCGCCAGAAATAATATGCCAATTTGTTCCCACCAGTTCATGAGAGTACTTGCTTCCTTGAGTCCTTGCCAAACCTTGGTACTAAATTATGTCATTCAAATCTGTTAATCATTTCCTGAAATTATTTTAGCCGAGGGCCCAAGATGAAATAATTGGTCCTGGCTTTCATTTTTAAAATCCTTCTTTGATTTGGCTGGAATGTTATTATGTGATGATACTAGATTTCTCGGTGGTGGCTGTGGCGGTCGTCTGCCTCACAGTGCTGTCTCCTTGTTCTGTCTTTCCAGCTCTGGGGCCATGACTTGTGGTGTTGCTGGGGGGGGGGGGGAAGCATCTTCCCACCTTATTTCTTGGCTGCTGGTGTTCCAAAAGCAGTTTATGCTGTGAGCTCCTGGGGAGATTTTTGCTTGTTGTCTGTCTGTTTTAGGGTCAGTCAGTTGCAACCCAGTCCTGTACAGCTGTCTTACAGTTTGGGTGGTAGGTCGTGTAGGTTGTGTCTTTGTTGTAAATCCATAGGTATTTTATTGAAGGAACAGAAGGGAGCATTAGTGGTTATGAGCCAGGTGCTCGTTTGAATTATATGTTGACTAATGAAGCTTTGTATTAAGTCACTTGTAAAGTAAGAATTTCTCTTTCGTTGTTTAAAGATCAGTCATTACCTATTCTGTAAAATGTTTAATCTTCCAGATGGAATTTTTTAAAACATTTTTAATATTTATTTTATTTGTATGAGTGTTTTGCCTATATGTGCATCACATGTGTGCCCACAGATGCCAGAAGAAGACATCAGATACCCTGGAACTGGGGTTGTGAACTGCCATGTGGATGCTGGGAATAGTACCCGTGTTCTCCCAAGTGCTCTAAACTGCTGAGCTATTGCCAGCTCCCCCTGGACCGTCTTGAAGTCTTTCCTTAATCTCTTTCTCTTCTGTCTCTGGCAATTTGATTATCATTACAGTAAATGTAAATATTAAGTAATTTGGCATCTTAAACAGCTTCTTTTTCTAAACAAATGATTAAATTCATTACAGAAGATTTAGTGAACTACAGAAAAGTATAGAAAACAGATGCTGGCTCTACTCCTGCCACCTGGAGAGAAATCTGCCAGCATTTTGCTGTATATCTTTTAGACATTTTTCTCAGTTCATATATACCAGGATATGCATACAAATCTATATTGACAGGATTATAATATTTCATCTTTCTGTGTAAAAGAACAGAGCACATATGGCATAGTCCATGAATACAGTGAGCCAGTTAGATTAGTATAAAAGTTCCACTTGTAATCTGTCCCCCCCACCCCCACCCCAATCTGTGTACCTCTGGCTGTCCTGGAACTTACTCTGTAGGCGAGGCTGGCCTTGAACTCAGAGATCCGCCTGCTTCTGTCTCCCAGGACAGGCACCACCACTGCCCAGCTTGTTTAAAATGATTTTTATATTTGTTTTCCTTCCTGACTTCTTGAGTAAAATTCTTTAGCTTTACCCTACCCTCTTTTGATTTAAAGTTATAATTTTGCTCTTTCATATAGCTTAGCCAAAGTAAAGGCAGTAAAATCTTGTATAAATTTAATCTATTTGGAGGACATGGAAAGTGTATGTTTTCTGTAGAGCACAACACACAAATGAAAAGTTAAAGCTGTTTTTAAATAATTAAACTGTAATTCACATAGCTCATATATTTACTGATTTTCTGCCAGCTAGAATTATTATGTACTGACTGTAGGCGTCTAGCCAGTGTTTAGTTAAGAATCTAAGGGAAAAACATACTCAAGATGTAACACTACTTACACAGGGTTCCTTCTATAGGTATTAGGACTCCTGGTTTGTGATATTGCACTGCCTTGTATACAGAGAGTACAGATCTATATGAGCTATAATACATCTGTATTACATCAACACCGAAAAAGCAAATCCAAGACCTCTTAAACTTTTGTTGTTTTACCAGATACTTGACACTCAGTAATTCAGAAAAGAAAGGATTGTTTGAGCTGTTAGTTCAACATGCTGGAAGCCTAAAGTCAAGCAGCTGTGTCTGGTGAGGGCTCCATGTGGCTTCTACTCACAGTAGAATGGGAAGAAGAAATTACCTCATGCGAGAAAGCACATGGGTGAGATAGTGAGCAAAGCTGCCACCTTCCGTTTATAACAGTCTCCTGAGCAGGAGACATCCCATGAGACTGCACACGCACACTCATGAGGGTAGTACCCCTTCTGATCACTCCTAAAAGGCCTTACCCCTGCTATTCATTACTTTTCTCATGACTGGGAAAATACATAGTAAACACTTAAGAACAGAAGGATTTGTTTGGGCTCCCAGTTTGTGGGTACTATCCATCACAAGAGGGGAAGCTTGGCCGCAGGAGCATGCGGCCACCCCTCACCCTGGAGCCTGTAAGCAGAGGGCGCTGAATGCTGTCACTCATCTTGGTTTCCCTGTACTTAGTCCTAGACCCCAACGCAGGAGCTGGTGCCCTCTGTGTTGAGAGTAGGTCTTCCCTCTTCAGTTAAACCTTTCTGGAAACGTCTTCCTAGACACACACCAGATGTGTTTCCATGGTGATTCCAAATCTAGGCAAGTTGACCGTTAAGATTATTCATAACTCCTCCTAATACCAACACCACTGGAAATAAAATTTCAACATGAGTCTGAGTGAAGACACACCATATCCAAACTGTAGCATAGACTGGTGGCTCAGTGTATCCCCACTGCAGAATATCAACTAATCCATAACAACCAGGGATTCCAGTAATGATACTGAAGGAACCCATTCCCAAAGGAAAACAAGAAATGAGATGAAGCTCATGAGGATTAAACTGTACAGCCAGAGTGTCTGCATCCCTCATCACATGCCTTTTGGCATTTGTGCCTGGTTCCCCAGCAGGCCTCTGATCTTAAAGCCCCCTGAGAAGTGGTAGATTAAGGAAGGATGGTTTGTCAGTGGGAGCCAGATCCTCTTTGGGGCTCTGCCCTTTGCTTACATGTGGTTCCACTAGAGAGTGTGCTACCTCTCTCTGGGGGCAGGCCTTGGCTACCCCTTACCTCAGTTTCCTTCTCTAACCTCCTTTCCATGTGATGTATTTATTTTCTTAGGTGTGTTATTATCTCTAGTGAGGTAAGATCACACACAGTACCATTCTCTTCCTTGAACTTGACCTCAGAACTCATCAGCAAGAACAGTGGTGCCTCCACCTCTCTGTTCTATGTTTGGGGGCAGCACCTACTGTCCACATCTTTCCTAGATACAACCCTGCTTTTGCAGCTATTAGTTCTCAAAGGCAAAATTAAAATTTCTAGCTTCATCTCTGCATTTTCTATAGCCTTAAAAAAGGTTTATTTATTATGTATATAGTGTTCTGCCTGTATGTATGCCTGCATGCTAGAAGAGGGCATCAGATCTTATTATAGATGGTTGTGAGTACCATGTGGTTTCTGAGAATTAAACTCAATCACTCTCAAAGAACAGTGTTATAACTGCTGAACCATCTCTCCAATCTGTCAATTTCTTTAATGGCAGAAGTGTAAATATACTAGCCATAACTCCTTCCTAGGCAGAATAGCATTAAAAACAAAACTAAGAACAGAAACAACAAAATCCCCACCAGATTTAGGTCAATAAGAATATAATATTGCTACCTCTGTTTTCAGTAGACTGCAGCAGAAGGGTTCTGCAGTAGCCATGCTAGATGTCAAAACAAGAACAGCAAACCAAACACACGTTCCTCCTGGCAGTGCTCTCGGGCTGTTGTTTTTGTGTTTTACTGTATGCCTTCCACTCTTAGCATTGTGATATTATAGTAGTTATAATACATTGCATATCAGATATTTAGTAACATTTTTTAAATAGATAGATGAAAGTCTGTAATACTTTAATAATAACTAATATTTTAATGTTCGTGTATGTTCTAGATACTCTCAAGACTATCTTTTTTGTTTCTTCCCTTAAGGACACTGGCTTTCAGTTAAGTACTAGATAAAGTTTACTGAAGAAGAACGTTAGTTTTGCTGGATATTGGTTACATATACTTCTTAAATGACTAAAGCTGCCAAGGACTGCTAAAAATGAGTAACTCAGCTGCTTGGTTGACAGCTTTCAAACCCTTCCCTTGTCACCAGTGCAGTGGCAACTGTCCTGAAGCCCAAGGTTAGGCAGAGAACCAGACCAGCTGGTGACCACTGCTGTCATCTTGTGGTGCGCTCCAGTGCCTTGCCCTTGTCTCCCCATACCCCTCCCCATAACTCTGGAAATCACTACTACTATTCATCACGCATTCACTTCTTCAGTTACCTGAGGACTGTCATCCTGACAACCCTGATAGGCTTTGTTCCAGCTGCAGAAG